TCTACTTTGTTGAGACTATTTGTCCCACATTAAAAAGTTAAGGAACTTAATATGAATTTATAAGGAGTTGAACTACTTTCCCCATTGCCAATTAATTTTGGAGTGAAACCTCAACTTCCTTTACAATTAACACCACTTAACTTTGTTAAGCCTGAATTAAATTTAAAATGAAATAAAAACACAAAAAACAAAGAACCCAGTCAACAACCATGGTCCCCATTCCTAATTCCTCTGACAGCTAAGGCTTTAATTGGGTATTAATTGGATGGACATGTGTCAAGTTATGACATGGGAGATAGAGATATTGGTGTCTGAGAAATTATAGAATGATACGGTATCACCACGTCATCTAGTGATACTTCCATTCAAAATGCGCCATATGTATTATTTTTTAAAGAAAAATTAATTATTTATACAGTTGGATTTAAAAATCTAATTTTATAATTTAAAACCATAAAAAAAAACTCATTAATAATAAAAATTCCCAACAACCACTTCCCTGAGCTCGCTGACTACCCACTTTCTGCCATGACTCCTGTCGTTCTTTCATTTTTCCAATCTCTCTCTCTTTCTTCCTCTCCATCCCTCCTCTCTATTATGGATTTAGGGTTCATGGAATTTTCTCTCTATGATGGCTTTAGGGTTCAAGGAATTTAGATAAGCTTCCAAAGTCCTACAGGGTATATGGCCATTGAGATTATCGACAAGAAAAGCAAATTTTATAGGTGAATAGGAATCCAATCTTGGTTGCATAGCTTTCTATGTATCAATAGCCGAATCAATTTTTTTTTCCTAATGATTGTGAAAGTGGAATCATCCATGTGTTGGCGTGTCATCAAATTCACACAGAGAATGAGGGTTTAGGGAAGACGGTGAGAATGAGGGTTTAGGAAAGACAGTGGTGGGGGATCACTGTCGATGAAGCGGGTGGTTTTTGGGTTTTTTTTATTTTTAAAGTTTTTAAAAAGTCATTTTAATTTTATTTTAAAAGGAAATAGATTTCTCTCTCTAGCCTTTTGCACGTTTAAAAAAACCCTAATACGTGTCACATCCCGGGAGCGGCTCCACCGTAGCACGATATTTTCTGTTTTGGACCCCCCTCTCTACCCACACGGTTTTGTTTCTGGGAGCTCACGAGCAACTTCCCAGGGGGTCACCCATCCTGAGATTGCTCTAGCCCCAATTCGCTTAACTTCAAAGTTCCCACGACTTCGAAGCCAGTGAGCTCCCAAAAGGCCTCGTGCTAGATGGATGCGGGCGTGCACATATAAGGCACATCACCCCTCTCCGTTGGTCGATGTGGGATCTTACAATCCACCCCCTTAGGGGCCCGACGTCCTCGTTGGCACACTAGCACCACACGGCAGAGTGGCTCTGATACCAAATTGTCACATCCCGGGACCGGCTCCGCCGTAGCACGATATTGTCCGCTTTGGGCCCCCCTCTCTGCCCTCACGGTTTTGTTTCTAGGAGCTCACGAGCAACTTCACAGGGGGTCACCCATCCTGAGATTGCTCTAGCCCCAACTTGCTTAATTTCGGAGTTCCCACGACTCCGAAGTCAGTGAGCTCCCAAAAGGACTCGTGCTAGATGGATGCGGGCGTGCACATATAAGGCACATCACCCCCTCTCCGTTAGTCGATGTGGGATCTTACATCCGTGTCTTCATTAGTATACACATAAGATGGGTATGTGCACTATTATAAGCAGAGAGAGGACCCGTTTCCTAGTGAAGCCCATAATCAATTACCACCCATCACAGTAATAAAATAGGAAATTACTTCTCTTTATTTGACCAATATAATTATTCTGAATAATATTTATTAAACCAATTAAAAAATTTATTTACCGCATAGGTCACTTCATGTGGGCCACACAGAATATTTATAAAATATTCTTACAACTTACACCACTGTGGTAGTCGACTCAAGAACCTCAACAGATAAAACTTGCAGGTTTGATTTCCTCCATATTTATTCAGTTAATTTGCAAACTTGACTTCTGCTCCTGCTTACACCTTGGTCAGTGAACAACATTGCTTGCAAAAGTATTTTAATTTCGATTTTGAAGTCAGTCTAATAGCAGGTTGTATTTCAATTTCTGACTCCTAGCTATTTTTTCTGTGTGGATTCCATTTTCTCATAGATATTAAGAACATGACGTATAGCGTTCAATTAGCGTTTTTTTAAAATAAAAAAAAATTTAAGCATGCATTTTCTTTGTGTATTCACGCAAAATTAGTTAAGGATTTGTTTTCAGTTTGACAAACTTCATTGAAGTTTGTCGCCAAACTAATCTCTTTAAAACAATGGACTTGAAGGTATTTTACAAAATTTCTTTATCTATCTAATGTTATTTGAAAGCCTCTTGATGCACGGGGAAATGCACGTTAAAAATCAAATTTAGAATATTCGATCACGTGAAATGACATGAAAATTGATAAGTTGCTTCAGTTACCTTTTCAGTTTCGTAACAGCTGTATGTGTGGTCTTTGTAAATTCAGATGTAACATGTGAATGACTTGTCTGTAGCTAAACAAACTTATTTAATCCCATCATCGGCTTTATCGCCCAAATTTATATATAAGTGCCTCACCAAATTTCTTTCCTAGTACAAAACGTACATATTGCTCATGTATATAGGTTCTTCCTTTTGTAATGGTTATAATTTTAGAACTCGAGAGCCCCTTTTTAGGTTTTAGTGGAAGGAGATTGAGAAAGAAAGGGAAAATAAAAATCGAGATACAAGTAAAATTAGTAAAAGAATATTCCATTGTAGAAATGAGTGGCATGGGAGAAATTGATGCAAGAGAGATTGCTCTTGTAATGCAGCGCAAGGTACATTTATTTGCTTGTTACTTGCTT